TAAAGGAGAATGCACGAAATGCGTGATATGCAAAAAAGTTTTTACACTAAGATATAGTGATTATTTGTAATCTACATTTGTTTAATGCTGTCAAATGACAATATCATTAAATTAATTGTTTGATTTTGTTTAATTAACATCATAAATTAATTAAAAATCTTAGTTCGTTACGAATTAATTTGAGATATTGTGAGATGTACAAAATTAAACGCTGTAATGCGAAACACTGTATAACGTACAAGAATTCATAAAATGTTAGAAATTATGTAGAAAAAATGAATTATGTACAATACCAAATCGCGCGCGTTATCTTGAGGAATGTCTTAGTTAGGTATTTGAACTCAACGCTTACTCAATAGCTTAAGTGTTTTGTAACATAGTTTTTATTTCTTTTAAAGAAACAGTTTTACTCATGTTAACGTTTGTCAGAATTTGATTGTGCGTCATTCCGTCGCTGAAAAATCTTTCGTGCATTATACATCACGCGTCGCAGTTACGTCTTGTTTGTCGAGTACTGTTTGCTTACTCTGCGACATAACATGATTATAAAATTGAACAATCACCAAACTTCGCCCATTAAAGCTCTGTATGCAGTTTAACGTATGCATGTAGTTTAACGTAACTGTATTATGTAAACTAATCTACATGCGATGCGCTTTCAAGTTTCTATCAAATTGTTATTTTATCGAAACATTGGGTCTTAGAAAAAAAAAGGAATTGGTTTTTATGATTCCGTTGAAAACTTATTATATCTATTTTTATAATTGATGCTTTATAGGTGATAACTTTACTAGATTAATAAATGTGCCATACAAACAGAAAAGAGACTACACAAGAACTAAAAAATACAAAAAAAGGGAGAGAGAAAATAAATATTATTAATCTTCTTTAATAGAGAGAAAGAAACGTACATATATATAAATTGATCCATCATTTATTTATTAGAACTTTATTATAAAATTCCTTCTATTCTTACAGCATAATACTGCTATATTTAATAATTTTTAATAAAGTCATAAAATCAAATTTCATTATTTTAAATTTATATTCAAATAATGATATAAATATAGATAAACACAATTACTGCATCAATATGAAATTCTTGACTTCATATTTACATATTCATATATATTTTTGTATTATATAATTGTATAACAAATAGCATAAGTTTCGAAATTTCTTTCCTGGCATTGTGTTATTTTCTTATTCTATACGAGAATCAGAAATCTGATCTAATCAATGTACGATTTAGCGAAAAAATTATTTTAAAATCAACAGAGCTATGATTTGTCGCACCAAACTTTTAGTATGTTGCAATTGCGTATAATCTCTTTTTCTTTTGTCGTGGCTCATAATAGCTCTTATCAGCGAAATATTGTTTCAAGAGGAAACCTGTGCGTGTGAATGTGCTCTTGATTTCTATCGAACGGGCACACTTAGTGATATCGTTACGATCGCAGGTAGAAATATTCAACAGCGTCACGTACGCCATTCCAGACAATTCCATGCGTTCAAACGCTCGGCTCGAAAATATATATTTGTTTCCTCTTTAAATTGTGATTTAAACCAATCCTCCCGCTCGTATCGATCATGCAAATTGATAAATTTATAGCGACAAATATGTCCCTTTATCTTAATTGCCTCTTGTCAAACTCGCATTATTAATTCATTTGAGGAATATATTAGGGAACATTTAATTATATATGATAGACTAATTTCTCTAATTTATAACTTCGGCAATTAATAACGGAAATTATTCGAAAAAAAAATATCGTTTTTTTTTTACATTTCTACATCAATTTGAAATCACTTCATTCTATTTCCTGTTCTACAATAAAACTTTTCTCTCCAATTTTGTTTAATTTATATTTAGATATAGATAGGATAAAGTTAGAGAGAGAGAGAGAGAGAGAGAGAGAGAGAGAGAGATTTTTAATTATCAAAAATTGTTACGGTTTCCGTTGCCGATGACGTTCCATTTGCAGAAATGAATCAGGTGCACGATGACGCAAGAACAGTCATTATCTTAAAATGACTCTTCCGTATGCTTTTCGTATGATATAATTGCAATTATTTTTTTTTCTGTCCTATTTCAAGATTGAATAATAACCGCACGACGTATCACCATGCCAAAAATTATCTATTTCTTTGATCGTTATTCAGTTCGCGCTTTCAGATACTTTCGCATTTATTTTATACAAATCATGTCAATATTATCGTTGTAATAACTAGTCATATCGTAAACAATTATTATAATATAATTTCGATCTGTTACCTATCTTTTATATAGCATTACATAATAAAAAAAGACCTGAAAATTTTTTCTCTGTTTGTATATCTTGTTATTATTACAGGGTATATATTATTATTATTATTATTATTATTAGGCGTTAGGAACTCGAAAGCTCATTGCCGCAAATACCAAATCCCGCCACTGTTCCCGTCCCTGAGCCAGATCCCTCCATTTGTGACCCTCGTACCCCATTTCGTTAAGGTCCATTCTAATATTATCTTCCCATCTACGTCTTGGTCTACCCAATGGTCTTTTCCCATCCGGTTTACCAATTAGTACTTTATATGCAATTCGATTCTCATCCATACGCGCCGCGTGACCTGCCCATCTTAATCGACGCGATTTTATGACATTAATAATATCCGGACTATTATATAATTGATGTAATTCTGCGTTGTGTAATTTTCTCCATTCGCCCGTTTCCTCATCGCGTTTTGCCCCGATGATTTTTCGAAGTACTTTATTTTCGAAAGCCCTAAATCTTTTCTCGTCTTGTAATGTAAGTGACCACGCTTCGCTGCCATAAAGGACTACCGGTAAAATAATCGTTCTGTAAATTCTAATTTTTAAGCGCCTAGACAATATCCGCGAACCGAGTAGTTTCTTAACCGAATAGAAGCACGCATTCCCCAAATTAATTCTTAATATATACAGGGTATATATACGATGAATAATATCTCGGTATTTGAACGAGAAATAAAAAATTCTTTTACGAAAAATTACCAAACTTTCACATAAGCACCTTTAATGGCATAAAAAATATCGGACAAATATTCCACTTTACGTTAAGTGCACTGAAGTATGTTATTCGTTGTGGTATCAATGATAGTTGCACAATTCAGTTGTGTAAAGTATTCGTGTTCGATATCTTAGTAGAGTGTGTCCTTCTAGAAGCCTTGTCCTTGCAGAAAAGAAAAAAAAGAATTAGATGACAGGTCTGGGATGAGGTCTCGTTTGATCCGGAATGATCTGGAAAAGCCACTAAAAGCTTATGTGAAAGTTTGATAATTTTTTGTAGAAAACTTTTTTATCTTTTACAATAAAAATGTCTAGAAATATGCATGTGTCCTTCTTTTTATTTCTAATTATTTTAAAATCTTGATTTATTATGTATATCCTGTAAAAATTGTCGCTTTAAAATTAATAACAAAACTCAATCAACGGGCGAAGTAAGAGTCAACACATTTTTTAAAATTTTCATAAAATGATATATTATATTAACAGCGATGAAACATCACGCAAAAAATTAGACTATAAACTAATAAATTACAAGTTAACAACTGCGTTAAAAAGAACAGTGACTATCGAAACTATCGAAACAAGGAAAATAACTGCTTTAAAATTAGTTACAAAAAAATTTAATGTCCAACATTAGAAACTTATCACAAATGACAAGTCTCGGACAAATTGCGTGTAAATATGACGGACTAATTGATGTAAATATGACGTGAATATCTCACTGGAATATACTTATTAAAAATTACAGACAAACATTATGAACGTAATCTGTATTATTAAACGGTAAATTTTATAATTCCGAAATAAATATTTTCCATTCCTATCTTCTGTTCTATTCTAATCTATTCTATATCTAAAATGAGATAATATTACAAATCTGCCGTAGCGATCCCTTTTTCCAACTAGTCAGTGTATACGGATGAATCATCATCCCCCTACGGTTAAGCTATTGCCGCTACAAAATGGCGATGCAAGGCATTAGCAACGATGGCCGACGATGACGACAAGATCTCGTGGACATGTTTCCCTTGCCGTCCCTCGCTATCTCTCGTCGTCGCTTCATCGCATTTATCAGTAAGCAAACAAACGAACTCCCTCTGTGACCTTTTTCTCCCCAGACCATATTGTGTACAATTCGTCCAATCCGGCTGGATAGGATTATGAACGTACGGCCTCGTCGGATTTTACCATCATATTTAACGGTATCTATATAACTAACGAACGGTTGCGTAAAAAATATTTACCTAACTATGAAAACAGAAAATAGCAAGAATATTATTCTGGGAAAACAATGTTTTAAGTTTATGCAAACTATTATTAATGGGAAGATTTTTAATTTCGTTAGTGAAATAAATTCGTTCATTTTTAGATACACCTTTGTTACATTTCAAGATAGATAAGTGTAATGTCGGCAGAAAAGAAAAGACAAAACTCAACTGAATTGCAGGTGTAAATAAAATGTAGAAAATCTTATACCAGATAGCCTTTTGGCATCGTATTGCTTGAAAGACGAGAAGCATGATCGATTCTTGCAGCAATAAACGGCATGTGAGAATAGCCGCAGAGAATCTCGCAATCGACTGACCAATGAGACGCGAGGGTCCGCCCAATCGGTCGCTCCCGCTGGTGTTGGTGTCCATCTAAATTGTTGCTGCATGTTCTCCATACAGCTTTTCTCTCTTTCTTTCTCATTCCATCTCTTCTCTCTCTTTCTCATACACATACACACGCGCGCGCGCGCGCGCACACACACACACACACACACACACACATCATACATACGCATACTTTGTCTCTCTCTGCTCGCTGCTCGTTGACGAAAGCAACGTTGACGACAAGAAGAATGCATTGCCTCGTCCGAAGCAGTAGAAACTTACCGACGTAGCTACGAATCCACCTCTTTCCTTCCATCTCTTTGTGGGACACCAAGGCGAATCATCTCTCATACCATCGTCAGTTGCAAAGTGCTTCCCGCCGGCGAAGCGTCTCTCTCTTTCTTCCGAACATTCTCATCATCGATCCCGCAAATATTACCGAGTGTACGTACTGTCTATTTAGTGCTATCTATTCAAGTGTATCAGTCTCAGGAACCCAGAGTGTATTTGGTGCGTCGGGGTGGCAGACTGCGACAACGGGAAAAATCCGACATAAAGGTCAAATGCGACACACAGCGAATGAGGTACTAAGGAGTGATTACTTTGCGCAAATGAAATCCGGAAGAGATATAGAAAAATATAGACTATACTGAACGATTCAATGCCATAATTAAAGATATTTTAAGGTTTCTTTAAATAAAACTACGCACGATATATTTGCATCATTAAATTAGACATTGACGTTAAGAAATACATTAACAGTGCTGGGAGTTATTCAAAACGTTATTTAAAAGTTTATCGTTACAAAATAAATTTACAGAGAGACTCCGCTTACTGAGATTGAAATCTAAAATAATTTTTTGTCGATTAATTACAAAAACTATACATCTTTTAATAAATCATTAGGTAATATTCTTGAAGCTTCCACGGGTGCTTTCAATATAAAAGTTATGCGTTTCGCGGGTTTTCTCCGTGTCCAGATCCATTCTTGAAATGCCAACGTTTCGTGAACCTTTTAAAATAATGAAAATGCGGTTCCGTATGCCACTGTGTTTTCTTCAATATTCAACGTTTTATTAAAGATTGAAGAGAAATGCTTATTAATTTCAATCATGATAGAAATGAAATTGTCATCGCATGATAAACAATTTTTCCGATTATTTTACTTAAATTTGTTACGAGTATAATAAACTTTTTTTATTCAATTCACTGCTACCATCATCGTCGCATTACGATTTGATTTAACATTCGCGACATCGAAGATTACGAGATCATCGCCGACGAGATATAGCGGAAGTCGCGGAGGTCTTTGCCAAAGAAAGAGAGCCGTCGCGTGCTCTCGCCGGAAGTCGAAACTTGACATTGTTGAACGGAAGTGTGACGCAGGACAAATAGTGCCTCTCGCATTTTTTCCCGAGACGGACGAGGTGTGTCCCCGGTCCTTTCCCTCTCCTCCACCCTCTTCCCTAAACTTATTGACCCATGTATTCTTACCTGCGAAACAATTCCGTGTCGCGTGCCTCGAGGATTCCCCTGAAAGAATGACTAATAGGGCTCGCAGGACCGTTAGCCTTCATCCTGTTGATTGACTATCTTTTGACGAACAGATTATTACTTGATTTAGTAGAAACTTTTTTAGAGATATAACCAATATTAAATCATTGCATGTTAATTTTCTCTCTCTCTCTCTCTCTCTCTTTCTCGCATATATCTTTTTAATTAATTTTATATATCATTGCCAAATCCTTAAATATCAAAATATAACATCATATTAAACTTGCTTGCAACATTCCCTTCCGTGAAAAAAATTAGAGAAATTCTAAAAGTAGATGTATAAAAAAAAATACCCATGTCTCAGCGTTTTAGATCAAGTTGTTAACGTTTTTTATGCAGCCATTTATTGTATTTGCTTCATATTGGCTTTTTACAGTTGTTTTAAATTATATAATTTTTTAAAATAAATAATTGACGTTTTTGCATGTGAAATTATGCGACGAGTCCGAATACAAAAAAAAACAACTGAGAATTCTCTCTCTCTCTCTCTCTCTCTCTCTCTCTCTCTCTCTTTCTCTCTCTCAACAATGCATCAACATAACAAGTTCTTTTCAGAATCTTCGTGTAAAGAAAAATTTTTCGAATTGTGATGTCGCGTTTACGAAGTCTCGCGTTATTTTCATCAGCAACTAAATTCTATTGCTTCAGACGCAATGCAACTATTTCTGCTGCATCTTTTGATAAATTGGCGTCACGAACAATGTCATTAAAGTTCACTTGCGTCACAAAATGCGACACTCTATAGCCCAATTCAATAAATTCGGATTCGAGCTCAGAAAATATGTCACTTGAAGTAGAAGGTTGATGATTTTGATTGTTTTTCTTCCGGTATGTGTCTTCTGTAGGCGCAGTCGGATATTCTGCAGAACGTACTCATGTCGGAATTACGGATTCTACATCAGCGTAATCAATTTTTTCATGAATACTGTATCGGAAACCAGAAGTTTTCAATTTTGTTGCGCAAAAATAGCATAATTCAAGTGCGTACGTCGTAGCCAAATTGTCGGTGCAACAAATTTAATTTTATAGGATTTATTTTCCCATCCGAGCGAACAACGATAACAATAATCGCACACAATTTCTGGCACGTACCACAAATTCAATATACACGTCTACGTATATAAATGGATATCATATATATCCATTACCTAAAATTTTTCTTTCTCTTAAAAAAATAAATTTGATTTTACAAGATTAAAGAATATATTAAATGTCAGTGATTCCTTTAATAATTAATTAATAGCAAATCGTCTACAACGGTATATTTTCTCTAGAACGAAAGTTATCGACGAGAGTAAAAGTTTCTGCGGAATTGCCGACCTAGACATCGATCTCATCTGTTATCCGGTTAAAAATCCGACATATGACTTTACTTGTACCGTTTTGTTATCACGACGATAATATTATTCTGATGTCTTTGCGCGCGAGTTTCGCACGTGGCCGTGTCGTTGTCTGACATTAACATTTATATTACGCTACTCAGAAAAAGTTAGGAGACCACGAAAGATTCTTGCATTTATCTTTTTGATAAATTATATCCATAATAAATAACGTAATATGTCTATTAAGATAAGATATTTTTTAATTATTTCTAGTATAAAGGATAACAATAGAATTATAATATTTCTCCCACGAAGAGAGAGAGAGAGAGAGGGGGGGGGAGAGAGAGGGAGGGGGAGAGAGAGAGATTTAATGAAATGAACGTAAAAAATAAAGACATCTCATCGGAAATGCCGATGAAATCGCTGATGCGAGATTAAGATGTATTTGAACATACTCGTATATGGAATTAAATACTCAATTATATATGTTGTTCCTAAAGTGGAACTTCCGTTTTATTCAGGACGTAATGAAAGAGACATTGGTAAAGCAAGAGATCAAAATGGAATGGGATAATCATCGTGCGGACGATAATTCATCACAAGTTTCTGGAAATGAAGTCCAGACAACTAGAAGTCCTCAAAGCGTAATAACGACTAGAAGACATGTGAGAACGATTACGACCGCTGGTCATATAACCGAGGGAATTGCCGAAGTTGATCCGGAATCTCCGGATTCAAATTCGGTTAGTGGGAGTCTTCATCAGGGATTTCAACACAGACATGAGCAACATGAACAAGCCCAACAGCGTAATTTCCAAGAGGAACAGCAGCGAACGCAGCAGCATTACGTGCAAATTTCCCATACGAGCACTGAGAACCAGCAACGACCGACGGATCAGCAACGTGTCGTTTATGCTACTAGCAGCGGCCAGGAAGTTCAAGTTGAAGTTTCTGAAGCCTCCGATGCTACCATCACACTTACAGTAAAAGAACCGCCCAGGTAAGAATAGTAGAAAGAGAGATAAATACGTAAAAAGAGAGATAAATTTAAAAACTATTTATTACTATTAATTGAGAAAGTACCTATAGATAAATATTACTTCTTTGCTAATGAAATTTAGAGGAAAAAAATAAATCTTAGTTAAGAGAGGAAAAGGAAAAGTGTATTTTTTGTGATACAGACATAGATAATATAGAGTATCATGTGAAAGAATGCAAAGAGATGAGCGGGAGATTTGAAAAGTTAGGAGTAGATAAACAGGGAATATTAGGGAAATTATGGGGAAAAGATGTAGGCGAAAGAAAAGGAAAAGTGTTAAGGAAATTTTTAAGTGTTAAGGAAAAATGAGAGAGAAGGAAAGAAGAGAGGAGAGGAAAGATAAGAGTTAAGAAATAGTGATATTAGAAAGAAATATCGAGGAAAAGAATGATATTAGAAGTTTAGACTTAAGTGGAGTAATAAGAGTAGATGCCGAGGTTTAGTAAGTTAAGATAGCGTAAGTAAAAACGAATGAACTAAAAAGAGTAAAAGAAGAAAGGTAGGAGGTAAACAAAGATTGTGAAATAAGGCTGAGTAAGGTTGGGATTTCAAAAGATAGTTAAGTAATGTAGGACGAATAGAGTTATAGGAAATACAATAGGAAGGATAAACAAACAAGAGGCAGGCGAAAAGTATGAATAGATAAATGAGTTAAGGAAAAATTGTAAACCAAGTCCTCTTCTTGGCTTGTAAATATGCTGAAGTAAAATTCTATTCTATTACTTCTTCGCATGAAGATACGAAACGCCTGCGCCAGAAAGATTGGAAGTAGATCGAATATATGCTTACTCCGACGGACATGAAATCCGAAGAGAGAACCATGTGATCACCGTACAAGTACCGGATCATCGGCGAACTCAGCAGGCAGGGCACCAAAGATTCAGTCCTCCCGAAAATCATCAAGCCTCTGGGCCAAACGGAGGAAGATATCAAACATCGCCAGTTCTGACCACGACGGAAGACTATGACGCCTCGATCGTTACGCAATCAGGATCTACAGTCCACCTTGGATCACCCGCACCATATTCACCGCCAATCGATGGTATACGTGCCGGTCAGCAACAGCTCGTAGCAACGAGTTATGCCGACGGTGTTGTCAAGTACGATGCCGAAGCCGCGGCTGCTGCGGAAACCATCAAAGCTTCTAATACGTACACCACGCTAGAAACAGTCGCTATTCCACCCACACAACCCGTTCAATACACACAGTATTTATCTGTTGGCGAGACTTTTCAACAGACGCCAACGTATAGTTACACCAAGCCAGGAGAGCCTGTGATCTTGGCATATCCACCAGCAGCGCAACTTGGCTCGAGAGTTACCGAGGTGAGAAAACGCGATCAGTTATTCGATTAATATATTTCATATTGTATAATCGTTTCAATGATTTTACTTTAAATATTGTTACTTTTATATTTATGTATTTTAATCATCCTTTTATAAACATTTTTATTGGCTAAGTTTCCTCTGAATTTTATCCGAAACCGAGAAAATTTCTTTCGCATTTAATAGGTAGAATCATCTGGCAGCGCATACATGAAGAGCGATCCCACGTTAGCATCATCCTTGACCGCCAGCCGAGCGGTTCCCTTACACTACGAACAGCCCGGTTCGCCAAACTCCCAAGTGACTCTGTACAGCACAGGACCGACGTCATATCAATACATGAAATCTTCCTCAGGTGATCCTTATTGGCCAGGTGGCAGTACTCCTCCTCCCTTGGAGTATGTCCAGGGTTATCCAGGCATCGCTACGATTTCCGTTAACGATGCTAACGTGCAGCTCTATTCCAACTGTAGCGGTGGATACAGCGTTTCCGCGAGCGGAAATGGACCATCTCCTGGGTGGACTACCCTTCCGCTTTCCAGCGCTGAGGAGGGATTCGAAGGAGTCATAGCAACTGAACCCAAAGAATGTGTTAATTGCGCGGCCAGCATGACACCATTATGGAGAAGGGATGGCACTGGTCACTATCTTTGCAATGCTTGTGGGCTCTACAATAAGATGAATGGCGTCAATAGACCACCTATGCGATGCACCAAACCGAAGCAATCGGTTGCGCCGGTAAACACTGTGCGAATCACGTAATTATATACTGTAATCTAACTGCAGTATACTGTAATCTAATTTTTCAAATATTAATTTTTACATAGATTTCGAGAGCCCGAATAATTAAACTAAAAGAGAAGAATGCAGCTTGTACATTATATTCAAATTCATTATACGATAATTGAACAATATATAATTTATTACAACTTATACTAGAAACTATTATAAACTTTATTATTGTACAAAAATGTAAAGAAATTAAAAAGTATTCATAAAGTTGTAAATATGCGTAATTAGAATTGGAATTTAAATACTATTTTTTTGAAAACGACTCTCGAATTATCCGTAACTGAAATCTTTGTTTTTCTCTTCCTTTTTTCGAATCATTTTTAACATGTAACACTTTGAATCTACTGAACAATAATGTTGTACATATTGAAAGGAAGATTAAATACTGTTTGCTGCTCTCACATTCAAATATTTAATTGCCGAAATCCGTTTGACCACTGCTAAAATGAGGCCACTGATATTTACTCTGATAAATTTCTCATCCATGAAGCGTATGTGATTTCGATATTAAGTAATATTTTCGCGCCCTCTGCCTCTCTTCACCGTTTCCTTCTACCGTTACTAAAGACAGAGGAAAGAGGAACGTTATCTCGAGCAAATAATCACTACGGGACTCGTCGACGGTTGTTTGCTCTATTTTTCTTGCTCTGAGCACTCCCATTTCGTTGTCTCGATTCTTCAAATACTCCCTGTTTCTTGACGGCAACGCAACATTTTATGTCGTCATCGAGAGCAACGAATTCTCTCGCGAGTCTTTTTTAAGCTAACAAAATATATTTTAATTTTTTTTAATTATCAAATATAAGTAAAAGAGAAAGAGAGAGAAAAAGAAGAAACAGAAGATAGTGCATTATTCGCGAAATATATAACTTAATTCTGTAATTTAATGTCTTACACATAATATATTTATTTATGTGCACTACATTACTTTGTCATTGATATGTGTTTATGTGTTGATATGAAATGCTTTTTTATGTTGCAGGCTAATGTACGAAGAACAGGAGTACAATGTGCAAATTGTAGGACAAGCAACACAACCCTTTGGAGACGAAACAATAATGGTGAGCCAGTCTGCAATGCGTGCGGCCTTTATTTTAAGTTACATAACGTAAGTTTCAAAATCATGTAACGAAATTATGTACATTAAATTTCGCTTTTCATTTGTACCTCATTTGAATAGAAAATTTTCAATCCACTTTATTTATTTTTATTTACAAATATTGTAAAATCAAATAATAATAGCGTAGCTAAAGACAATACGAATAACAATCATGTAGCAAAAAACTCACTATGAACTTTTTAGTTATTTAATTCTTAATTATTATTAAAAATGTAGTTATAAAAGTAATACAAAGAGTGAAATTTCTTTTTCTTATCGATGGTGTTCCGAGTAATGTTCTGAGAATTGCTACAATAATGTTTCCATTCTCGCGCGATATAAAAACATTAAGAAAGCGGTAGAGAAATTTTTTTAATTAACATTAATCTTACTGCGAACTGGTCAGCGCGTTGTTATCAGCCTTTTTATGATTGCTAACCGCGATAACGACAACTTGATTGTTTTTACACACATGAGACGACCCCGTCTCGATGTTGAAGAGGAGCACAGATTATCGCGCGAATCTGTGCAAACGATCGTAACAACAAATTTAATTAAAACAGAAATCAATGCGTGACTGTACCGTTCGTACCTTAATCGAAATAATGACTGTCCTTTCTAGCCTTTTTCATTTTTATTAGTCATAATATAAAAGTCCATTGAGCGATTTTATGCTTTGACTAGTCGGAGAATATTAAAAATAAATAATTCTTAAATAGATTTCTCGCATAGAAATATAATTAGATTAATACAAACAGGTGAATAGGCCTTTAAGTATGAAAAAAGAAGGAATACAGACGCGGAAGAGGAAACCGAAAAATCATTCAAACATCACTGGAAATCTACCTGGTCCTAGTGGTATCCACAAGCCCGATATCAAGTCCAGTCTACTTGGTGAGTCTTCGGTGAGCAAGTCCATTTATATAGTTTATTTTTACTAACATCTTCCATTAGTTACATTTTAACAATTATACGTGATATCATCTTCACATTTTTCTCTCCGAGAAAATTTTTCAATAGACAATAATATCTTGTATATTCTCATTTTCACAAACGTGAGTTAAGCCTTCAGTTATGATTAGATGTACCTACAGGTAGGAGTGAGTAAGATACTTTCAGGAATATATATTTGTATGTACAAAACTGTTACATAATTAAATAAGAGAAATTCCTATATTCGGTCATAGCGGATCTTAGTGCTTAAATATTCTGTGTAAATTTATATACATATTTGATTCTGCGAACCGCGTCGAAATATTTTTCGGTCTTGAAACGCATTCATATAAACACACAGAACCAGAGTAATAATATCACACTTATTAAATTGATAAGCAATTTAATAATTTTTGATGCTAATAATCTTTACGAGAGTATTAATAATTAGATGTTGATGAGAATTTAAAATCAGCGAATAATTTTAAAACAATTATGATATAATGACATAAAACTATTATAAAATTACTTTTAATATCTTATTATTTAAGCAGTTATATAATCACTAAAAATATACCATTTTATAAAACCATTTTATTATTAGAATTATTATTTAAAACATATTATCAAGTGCAGTTTAAATTTGGAGCTAAAAATTATTTTTACCACTGCTATCGCCGTGTAAATAATAACTAATCGGTTTTTCCGCGTACAAATATTCTTCATGGAATGATCAGCCAATAATTCCCGTCCACGTCCATCGGCAATCGTAATGGCCGACTAAACACACGATCGCGTGTACAATGTACATGTGTAAGTACATGAAGGAGGGTCGGGGAAGCTCCGATGAGAGCACACAACAACTGATAGTGCCTCGGATTGGTCAAAGCTCGGGATGTATTCCGATAGCGACTAACATATACTTGTCATCGATGGGAGATTAACTCAAAGACACGCACGTGAGATATGCGGGAGAGAGGTATAGGACGTTAGCTTCGGTACGTCGATATTTTCTCACACGTGAGATCATCATAAAATTAACAAATTGATCGAAATAACTAATACACGTAAAATTCTAACTTGCAATTGACCAAAAAATTCGCAATTGCGCATCTGATTTCAATATTTTTCATTTACTTTTTATTTATTATTTAATTAAATTGTTATATTCTTTTGACTTAACGAATTGTTATCCCATACA